ACAGACAGAGGGATAGAGCCATCCTGGCAGCTTGCCTTTGATCTGATCTTTGGCAATAAAGCTCCAACTTCAAATGGCCTCAGCAGTGGCAGGTAGATGTCTCTGGCAGCGATACCAAGTGTCTATTTGCATCCGAGACTGACAGTCACGGTGCATGTCTCTGTATCTCTCAGAACTTAAGTCTCGGCTCGCCGTGACTCTGGCAAAGGCTTCATAAAGCAGAGTGTGTGTATGTGTGTCTGTGGTCTTTGTGTGTGTGTGTTCACTGTACCGGGCTGCTTGTCTGCTTTTTGTAGCAGCATTAAAGCGTGTTGATAGAAATGTTTTGTGAGTTCATGTCATGTTTGTTTCTTGCACCTTCACGCTTTGTTAATTTACACACCATTGCTATTAAAACATCCGGAGGGGATGTAACACACTGACTGTTAATTAAATGAAATTCACTTAGTGTTCATGTTTGCGTTAACAGGCTCCAACCACATCCAAGGTCTTTATTATTGATACCTGAATAATTCAGCTGCTCTTCACTTTAGAAACACTGGATTACACACCCTAGTCTACCTTTTGTTCCTCCCTTTTAGTTGAGTATGAATGTTTCTCAGGGTCAAACTCAGATTCTTTGGAAAGCAGCTAGATATGGTCGCAGTTTTGACATTCATATGATTCTTTTTAGATATGTGCTTTGATTTTTTTTTCCATTCATCTTCATAATGAGTGAATGAAAACATTAACATTGCTACGACGGAGTTAACAAAAAAAAAAAAAAAAAACACTTACAGAAGCTTTCATTTTGTTCAGCACAGAGATTCCTGGGAACAAGGAATACTTGTGTTCTAGTAAATTTTGTCCTGTACCTGGTTTGGTAGTATTCTGTCAAAGAAATCCTTCAGCTGTCTCTAAACGGTGGAAATCTTTAAGTTCAATCATGCCCTCTTGGATGGAAATATGAAAAGATTGGAAGGTCTCCTTTTGAATAATGATTTAGTTTTGATAGATAACACAAATAACTACTAGAAAACCATCACTCATCCTTCTCACAGCACAAATACCATATCATTTAGTTTATCAGTATAAATTATACAGTATAATTCAATAATTACTTTTCAGTCTGACATTGATGTGTTTTGCAGTGGCTGTTGAATATTTACATCAAATTCAAACATTTAAAAAAGATGATGTTAATTCCTGTAACCCTTTCACCCTCTGCTTATTAAATTTAATATTGTACTTAATACTGAATAGTGCTTGAAATACCTTTAACTTATATAACCTATTACTTACTGGTAAAAGAGACATCCCAGAGTTAAATATCTCAGAGAAATGTATGATTCTCACTATCTTTACATCAAAAAAGAAGCTTGTGAAAACACGAGGTAAAATAACATTAATGGTATAAACACAAGTTCCTTTGCTCATTTTAAAGCATGAAAGAAATGTTGCAAACTCAGCTGTGGATTTGTACTCACAAACTTTGTATGAACAGCCTGAAACACATGTAAGTATGGTCTGGTTTATTTAGCCATTTTCAGACATGCACTCCAGCAAATGGATGGTTGGGGGGTTCAGGGGCTATTCCTGTTGTCAAATAGATGCTGCAGTAGTTATGGTGTAATGTTTTACAATTTTACTCAAAATTAAAACCACGTTTTTTTAAATACAGCTCATCTATAAATTTTGATATATTTTGGTCTCATTCTTTCTATTTTTGTTTCCCTCTCATCCTCTGCAACAAGGCTGTGTTAGTAAATCCACTACTGCTACTATCAATGATTGCAATAAAGTTTTTTTATTTTTTTTATTTTTATTTTTTTTATACACAGGTGTGTATGGTTTAACAGATTTTGTTTTAGCTTTTACACCAACACAATGGGTAGCTAAACATACCTACCCTTAATTTTTTTTCATGCTGTTCTCCACCTGTGCTGCTCTTCCTGTTTCAGTATTGTATTAAATATCATTTCCTAAGGAGATGTACTACCAAACAGCTCTGCACAAGAGTTGAGTCTGTTTCTCGTAGGGTAATTCAAGGAATTCTTTTCATCTTTGTGCATGTCTGAAAGGAGCATATTCTACCTAAATGCACTCATAGTTTTGTCTATTTTTAAAAGCAAGGTTGTGTTTCAAACTTAAGATGTTGGCACGTCCGATCACTGGTGCTCATGCAGAATGATGCAACAGTAACTCCTACGACTAAGAAAGCTCCTACTCATGCTCTCTGTGTGCAGTGCCACAGCCATCATGAACAATGAACAACCAGGTCTACACACACGGCAAGGATAGAGACAACCATCCTGGTCTCGGGGTCAACATCTGCGACTCCCTTTATCCATGTTATCCAGTTGTGTGTTTTTAGGATGAATTAATGAATTAAATAAGAGGTGTCATAACAACCTTTTTTCCACTGGTTATTATAAGGACCTTAATGGAAATAAGATATTATAATAATAACAGAGTGAAGGTTGTTTTACTGAATTAAGCTTTCAGTCGGGTGATTGTGTTATTGGCACTAAACGCAAAGCCATGGCACTATTGTTATGTTGTGGATTTTTTCTTCTCCTTCGTCTGGACAAATTTTGGTTCACTGCTAGTCTTACAGCTTGAAGGGTTGTAGGACAAATAATATATCAAAGCATGCAGTTTGATCAGGATTGGTGTGATATTACTATTTTTTTTTTATTGCATTTGAATCACAATTCACAATTGTTCACAAATTGTTCAAAATTTTCTATTAAAGTCAATGGAAAAAGTGAAAAAAAAAAAAAAAAGAGCCATAGAAGATTTCAGAACACCTATACTTTCACCTAGAGACTCCACTTAAACTTTAAAATGTAGACACAGGTCTTGTCTATTGGTGTATTAATCAACTCCAAGTAATCCTGACTCAGTTTGTAGGTAAGAAGATATCTGCACACCTTTTCCTTTAGGGGAGAGTGGAGTAAGTTGAGCCACCCCCTGTTGCTTGAAAATGGAAAAAGAAATTGATCATGTGACCAAATATTTAGGAGATGGGCATCAATTCATGGAGTCTGTGAAGGTTCAAAGCACATGGGTGAAGCGGTTAGACATTTATTTCTAAAAAAAAAAAAAAAAAAAATCATTTTTACTCTTGAAAGTGAATTTAGTCTGTCATAAGTTTGATTAGAACTGTGTTCAGACCAAAAAAAGATCATTTTAAATTTGTTTTATACATCAATTGTGGTATCTATGAGCTACAACATGAGGTCAAAAACCTAGCATAAAAGTCCACCATTTTAGCTTTGAGGACTAATAAAGTCATAATAGTAGTTCTGGGGTAAGCTGAGCCAGTGGCTCAAGTGAGAAAGTAAAGGAGTCTGATGAGAGGATCAGAGGTTCAGTTCAGATTGTTGAAATGTGTTACTTTTTCTTTTCAAAAATACAGCTGTGAATGTTCTGAATCACTTAAAGGCATTCTCATGTTAAAATGGCTTTTTACGAGACAGCTTCTTAGCACTTATATGCAATAATAACAAAAAGAATCATTGTACCAGTTGAATAGCGTATGGGTCATTCCATGAAATCTGTGCCTTTTCAGCTTAGAAAAACTTAATTTAAACTATATTTAATTGTTAATTTTTAACTACCCAGGAATCAAAGAATGTTTAAAATGTCAGGAAATGATATTATGCCATCTCAGGCTGTGTTAATTTATATTTTATAACCGTTTTTCTCATGGCTGTTTTCATGATCTTGTCAACCCTGTTACCGACATAAACTTAACAAAGTGCAATATTTCTAATTAGAAATATGCAATATATGTTACATATATTAGCAATACTTTGGTCTCTCTTTCCATTGAGATCATTTTATTTTGTAGATTTTTTTTCCAATTAGGTATTTGTCATTCAGATGATCAAATATACCCTAATTTTGCATGGCGATCATGTCTCAACATATATTGGATATTTTTTAGAGGAGAAATGTTGAAAAAAGGCCCAATCTAAATTATAATTGATTTAAATTATAATGGTGAGTGTTGAAAGCCCATTTGAGTTGTCATTTTTTACACTTTTATCAAATAAATGACAAAAACAGGATTGACGTTATGGTAACGGCTGACAAGAGTAAAAGTAAGCGGACACTCAGTAACTGGCTCTCCACTGGTGTATCAATAAATCAATAAGATCATACTTAAAACAATATGTAAATGTAAACATTTTAACATTTTGCCAACATTTTTTCCAAATTTAAAGTCCTGTATACGTACAGCTATAATAGTGAGGGACAGGCCAAAAACCTCACCCTCATCAGCATAAAAGTAATTTATATTATCTAAAATGATATTTAATTTACTTTCATTTGACGTTATATTAAGGAGAGAAGACATGGTAATGTTATATTTTAAATTACATACTAATTTGTTGTTATCATAATTTTATGAATGATTACTTCTTGGGGAAGCAAAAAGATACCGATTTCATGGAATGACCCGTATAGTACATCAAAATACACATGAATGTGAAGAAGTGAGTGTTATCAAGGGAGAGAGAAGGTGAGGGAGGGAGGTCATTCATTCAGCAGGCTTGTGACTCATAATCTCATAATCAAAAGGAGAAAATCAATTAAACCAATTAAAATATTTAATTATACGAATGCAAACATTGTCTTGAAAATTTGCGTTTATTCATTTTTTGTCCAAATTTAAAAATAAACAACTATGGCAACACATCTTTGGAATTTTTTTTTTTTTTTATCAAATTTGAAAATAAACAACTATGTTGTAATGCCGTCTGAAATTGTTTTTTTTTTTCCAAATATGGAAATTTACCCTGATGATATCACATTTTGTGATGTCATTGATGATGTCATCGATCCTTTCATCTTTTTTTACAGACTCAATGATCGTTTCATCTTAAAGCCTGTTGATGCTTAGCCTCACAAAATCCGTCTTTAAGACAGTCCAGCCATCAGTGCCAGACAGCGACAAACACAGAGAACCTCAGTTTCAGTGAACATCTTTGAACAGGTACACGAACAGGAACATGACCACCTGCAGTTCCACTCAGAAGATGAACATGAACATGAACATCCACAGTTCCAGTGAGATGAACATGAACATGAGCAAGACCATCTACAGTTCCAGTGAGAAGATGAACACGAGAAAAAGAAGGAACAAGAGGAAGAACAAGGCCACCCCCGTCCCTCTGGATCAGTGGACCAACAAATATGCAAACGCGGTGCCTGCAGATCTGTATGATCTGGATGATGATGATGATTTTGGCAACTTTAACATCAATGAACAAAATCTGATGCGCCAAGCCGTCAAAGTTGCAGAAGTCGCAGAAGTCGCAGAAGTCGCAGCCCGCCGGCAAGAGGCTCAGGAGAGATATAGACAACTCCAATTGGAGCCTACAATGGACGCCTCAGATTGGGAGTCGGATGGGGAGGATCGTGAGTCAGTCCATGACAAACACTCTCCTCCAAGTCAGCAGGGACAAAAAGAAGACATGGTCCCAATTTCTCCAGCAGGCCTGTCATTCAGATCCTTGAGTCTGAATTTCAGAGACTTGCAGGTGTAGCGATTTCAAATTCAAAATAAATGTTGAAAATTAATCAAATTAAATTGTGACATTTATGCACTTGTGAAAGGGGCACCACCCACCTTTCTGGTGGGAAAAAGGACGAAACAAAGTTCAATTGAGTAATTAAACGTTGGATCAGTCTCAAACAGATTTAAATCAGTCTCTCATCTGAGGCTGGAATTCTTCATTCAGGGACTACTTTCTGAAAGACCACTAAGACGACAACTTAAAATTAAATGGACAATTTATTAACAAGCTATATAATAACAAAACGTCAATAAATGATGATCAAATAATGAGAAAATCAAAGCACATCTAATGAATAAACGAAGGAATGGTTTAAATTAAACCTACGATTGGAGGTTAATGATAGTAAGTGAATAAGGGAAAATTTAACCTACGTTAACGGAGTTACGAGGGTAAATTTGGAGAACTAAACTATAACTTATAAGAGTAAGCTACTGAACGGTTGACGGCATCACCCAGTTCTCATCACAGCAGTTTTGAGGATTTAGCCTACTTTGGATGTCGGTTCTCAGCGGCACCCTTGGAATGGATCAGCTGAAGTTCTGTGGCTACCGGACCGGATACTGAAGGTTCGGCGGGGAGTTCTTCCGCCGTGTCTGGATCTCAGCTTCAGGACCGTGTCAGCGCCGTTAGATACTTCGGATCTCTGGGCCTCTCGGAACCAGGTGGCAAAGCAGCTCGGCAGATGATGCTGGTCGGCGTTCAGGACTAGCTTGGTTGCAGATTAATTCGCGCCAATAACTTAAGAAAATAATTTCGCTGGCCAGCCGATATTATCTTCAGGAGTCACCTTAGCGAACAAAAATAAATAAAAAGACTTAGACTGAGGTTCTCTTATGCGCGCAGCTTGTTACTGAGGCTTTAAATAACTTGGGCATGTTTCATCCAAGTTTCAAAGAAAAATCTGAGTTTAAGGCAATTAATAAAAACGCGGGGAAAATTGCGAACTATAGACGGAGACAAAGAAAACTACGAAGAAGACAAACTAGACTAAAACAAAACAAGACTAAAGACAAGACAAGACTGAAGAGGCGGCAAAATCTCAACTCTTTTAAGCGATTCACCGTAGGCGTGAACCAAAGATGAGAAAAGGGGGGGACCTCCCCAATGCAGCCCATCGACTGGCAGCGAATTAACTCAACTTGATAGTAAAAGCGAGCTAGATCTAATTTACTCACTCACTATGATTAAACTGTTTGTAACATCACATACGATCACATTTACTTCATTGTTTCTTATGAGCAGATGCATTAAAGCATGACATTGAAACCAGTAAACTTTTGATCAGCTGCCTTCTTGATAATACAGAGGATAAACGACTTTTAAAAGTTAGAGAGGGACAGAAAACAAATTATCTATTCGAATAGAAACACCATCCAGCATAAGAAACACATCCGTAATAATATTTGACAACACTATAACCTTGTCAACCAAGCTTCATAAATGATTAATATATATATTTGTGTGAGGTAGACAAAAGCATAGTATGGATACATTCAGAAACTCTTAACTTGAGTCTAAACGAGTTTCACGTTACTACTTCTAAACTACTAGCCTATCTTGGGAATACCGTTTACTAAGCTACGAAGCGTATAAAACAAAAGGGAAGAAATACACATGATTAGATTCCTGCCATTTGGCTCTGATCAAACCATATTCAGGCATCACCACTAGGAGGAGCTCTTGGTCCATTGAAAACCTGGAATAAATTTGTGAAGTTAACAGTTTGACTTGTGGATATGTTACAGAATCGGGAAAAAGACCATTTCATTAAGAATGTGGTGTACAGACAGAAAATTCTGGTGAAATGTCCATTAAACATGAAGTTAAACCATTTTCAGGCATCCTCTTCCTTCTGCTTTCTGTAAAGAAAGCCAAGGAATTTTATGGCAGGTATCTGGTTTTTCGGATTTGGCGCCAAATGGTTTGTTTTCCCTTTTAGGTCATTGGGTAAATCCTGAAGTGTCAATTCTGATCTTTCCCAGCCAGGGTGAGAGGCTCCGTGTTTATGGGTCTGTGTGGTTGATAAGCAACTTGTCCTTTTTGGGAAGCGTTAAAGATTCACTATCACCTCCCAAATGGTTTCCTGGGTCGTAAATGGGAACTTGGTGTGCAAACCGTTTCTCCCCCATTTCCTATCCAAACCAGGGGATTCAATGTGGATAGCAGAAAGCAGTTTTCTTGTTACACAGGAGAGGAGAAGGAAGCAGTCCGACTCAAGGGTGAAATGGCTGCCTTATCTCAGGAGGTGAACCTGTTAAAAGAGCAGCTCAGACAACAGGAAGAGAAAGCCACCTCTGAAAAGACACGCCTGCTCACTGAAGTGTCAGGTAAGCGAGAGGAAGCAGGAAAGGCAGTCCTTGAAATCGAAAAACTTAAGGAGGACTGTGAAACTGAAATGAGGAAGCGGAGGGAGACAGAGGAGTGCCTGGCCCAGCAAGCAGAGCTGACCTCCAGACTGCAGGCTTATATGGACAAGGCCGTCACTGAGGTGAAGAACCAATGGTGTCAAGACAGATCCCAGCTCCTGGGGGACATCATGCATCTTCGTGCTGCACTTTACCATGCACAAGTGACACAGGAGAACCAGAGGCTTCTGTGGGCTGAGCAGCAGGCCAAGGTGACAGAAGACAACTGTCACACCACAGAGCCAAACCAGGTCCAAGAAGAAACTGCCACCGAGAACCCTGAGAGGGAGGAGGACAAGACTTCTCTCCTGGATGAGATGAAAGAAGAGCTGTCCACTGTCAAGGCTGAGCTGAAACAGACTCAAGAAGACCTGCAGACCAAGACCTGCCAGTGGGAGGAGGAGAGATCCTGGGCTCTATTTTCGTTCGCGCCGGTGAGGCGGTGGAGGGCGGCGAGCCCCGCGCAGTTGTATTTTCGTCCGGCGGAGCCCGGCGTAAGGCCAGTTTGGTATTTTCGTGGACTGAGTCGCACGGAGGCGAGCCGAGATCCGCCAAGCTGGGCGTGGTGGTGTGGCAGGGGGAGGTGTTGACAGAATCAGCTGGCGCAGTGACATTTTCGTGCTCGCAACTGGCGTGTAACGTGCGCTGAAAGCTCGCCGATTCAAACCTGGTCAGCTTTCAGCGCAAGGCGGAACGCAGCTGGTCCAGTAGTATTTTGGTAGACCGGCGGCGTATCGACATACGTCACTGATGCCTCACCGGCAGGTTTCCACAGTGTCAGGCACATTTCAGTGCAATAAATAATGATCAACAACTATTAATCTGAGTCAGCACATACATTTAGATCTATATCGATATATTCTGATCTATATCTGATCTGATGAGCGCGTTTGGCACGCGTTTGGACACACAACCTGACCGAATCAATACAGCTGAAACTGCATCAAATTAAATTAAATATCTAGTAAATAAATACACATGATGAAGTTAACAAGATATGTAATGTGTCTCCCTCCTTTTCTTTCTTCCTCTTCCTCTTATTTCTCGCACAGCTCGACCTGGACACGTCTCCGTGTCCTCTGTCCGTCTTCCTGCTGCTGCTGCGGCTGAACAGATGATTTGTTTCAGTGCTCAGATGCGTTATCTACTTTAAGCCGACATACGGATATTATAATATTCAGTTTTGTGAGCCAAATTTATTTTATATGCCAACATCTATGAGAGAAAGAGCCAGGCCACGGAGCGTGATGCGTCATTTACGCACAGATGGTTCCGATTTTAATGCCTTTTTGGAGTTTATGTTGTGATCTGTGCGCTCAACCCACCTTTGTCACGTGAGGTTTGAATATATGCAACTTTATGTGAGTGTCTTTATTTGTGGAAAAGGGTGTTTGTCTTACCAGTGGGTCCAACATTACGCACACCAAATCCATCTGTGCTCAGATGAGAGAGTGTGGAGGACACTTGTTGAGCAGCTGCCCTCTGTCGCCATCGTGTGGCATAACCGTCTTCAGACATCTCTTGATCTCTTTGACTACTTCATGAAAATAGTAATACGCCTCGCCTGTGGCGGATTTAAAGGCGAGGAGAGGAGCTAATGTGATTGGTGAAAACAGGTCTCGGCTGTGTTAAACCCCCTATACGCCCTCTCTCCTCCCTGTCTATGATTTATGCTGCCGGGAGGAGCTGAGTTAGGGAGGGGGGATACTTACGCCGGGCTGCGCGGCTCACCAAAATACCAAAATGTGCTTGGGAACGCCTTGTCAGCGCGGCGGATCTGATTGACTCTGCGCTTGCGGCACGTCTCCGGCGAGGCACCAAAATAGAGCCCCCTCTCTTCTGTCTGACAAAGAGGAAATCTGCAGATTGAAGGCTGCTCTCGAGAAGGCTGAGGAAGATCTGAAGAAGCAGAACCAGCAGGTGGATGTACTCTCAGGAAAAGATGGGTCCAGGAAGATTAGAGCTTCTCTCAACCAGGCCCAGAAAGACCTGAAGAAGAAAAACAAACAGTTGGAGGAAGAGAGAGCATGTGTCCTCTTCCTCAAGGGGGAAAATGGCAAGTTAAAGGACGCCCTAGCCAAGGCTCAAGAGGAAGGCTCAAGTTAAAAGCTGACCTCAGCAAAACTCAAGAGCAGCTGAGAAAGAATAGACAGCAGTGGAATCATGAAAGAGCTCGGAGGGTTGACTCTGCAAAGTCAGCAGAAATTGTTTATATACACAGAAGACATCGGATATAAACGATTTCTGCCAACTTTGAAGAGTCAACTTCAGAATTAACGGCATTCTGAATGAACAGGGCTTTGAAAAGTCCAGCAGCATGTGTTAGACGTCACCACTACACATGGACCAATCAGGGGCTGCTTTTCCCTGTTGTCCAGGTAACAGTGGAAACACGGTGTCTGATTGGCCCGGTTATTTTCTGATCGGGAATACACGCTCCCAATGGGCCGAAGTCCAGACTGTGGTAGGAAGGAACTGCAAGTGATTCACGCAACAGGATGGCCCGGCCAGGCTAGTTCATTTGTAGTTCTAAACATATTTGGGGTGTTTTACTCCCTTTTTGTCTCTCTCACTACATTGTTTCTCTCACTTACAGCGTCCATTATAATTCTCTCAATTGATATTTAGTTTTCACTTCTTAAGGAGGTGTAACAACGGTTTAGTTTATCATGTCTGAAGATTGTGCTTTGTTTCTAAATTTTTCATGTGTCCTCAGTTTGTCTATTTTATTATGCAAGTCTGCATAAACCCAACAAATCCTAACAATACCCATCATATGTATGCTGTGAATGCATCCCATATTCAATCCATTTTAGGTCTATTCTGATGTGCCACCTCTTACGTTGGTTTGGATGATTAAATCATTATGTTTTTCAACATATTTCAGTTTTTACTATTCATTTGCCATGTTGTTTGCAACATTAATAAATTCTAAGTTTTAAAATAAGCATGATGAACATATTTATTATCGCTAATAAGACACCTGTGGGGTTTTATAAGAATCAGGTGGACAGTTTATAAGAATCTTACAGGGTTAATGAATCAAATGTACACCTTTAAAAAGCAGGCTAAATCCAGTCAAGCAAGCAAAAAAAGGTGGGTGTAAATGCTTCTGTGTTGTCAGTTCTTGAAATAAGAAAAACTAAAAAAGGAAACCCAAGAAGAGCCACAGTTACCTGGAATTTAAAAGGGATATCCTTCGATTTCAGACATCAGAGTCAGTATACAGGTATTGGGTAGTATGACAGCAAAAGGTTGCATAACAGTTTGAAGGCCTGGATGGACCTTTCTGAAGTGTGATAAATGACCTCTTGTGGTGACTTGCTTGGTTCCAGGATCATACCATATCCACTACAGCACAGGGAAAAAACTTCATTGATTAAAAAGATGAAATCTTTGGTTGTTGATTCGATTCCTGGTTTTAACTGATATGGGGATTTGGACGTCGTCACAGGAGTGCTAAGGATGAGTGGTGTTGTATTCTCAGTGTGGTCTTTAAAAATGATGGCAGAGACAGCTGCAGAGGAGAGCTACAGCAATGAGGAAACAATCGAGGTATTTTAGAATACTGGGGCGGCAAAACAGCTGTCTCAACAAAAGCCTAGGCCTTGGAGAATAACTGTGGGCTGCTTATCATACTTCGACTGGCATATAACATGGAGCCTCCAACATCTTCTCGCAGCCATCATCTGACACCTTTCTTTTTCACTGTTTGATCTGTCTGTCAATACAGTTTTGTTGTGCTTGAGCTTGATGTGCATGCTGATGAGTCGTCGTCGTTTTCTTTCACTTCATCCAGGTCCGGGTCGCAGGGGCAGCAGCTTCAAGAGGGAAGCCCAGACAGCCCTCACCCCAGAGGGATTCTCCTCCAGGGGGATTCCCAGGCGCTCGCAGGCCAGGCAAGAGATATAATCCCTCCACCTGGTCCTGGGTCGGCCATCAGGTCTCCTCCCAGTGGGACATGTCTGGAACACCTCTAACGGGAGGCGTCCAGAAGGCATCCTAACCAGATGCCCAAGCCACCTCAGCGGACTCCTCTCGACGTGGAGGAGCAGCGGCTCTACTCGGAGCGCCTCCCGAATGTCCAAGCTCCTTACCCTATCTCTAAAGCTGAGCCTGGCCACCCTGCGAAGGAAACCCATTTCAGCTGCTTGTATCCGCGATCTTGTCCTTTCGGTCATTACCCAAAGTTCATGACCAAAGGTGAGGATTGGCACATAGATCAACCCGTAATTCGAGAGTCTCTCCTCGCTCAGCTCTTTCTTCACCATGACTGATCGGATAAGCATCCAGGCTGATGAGTCTTTGTTGAAATTATTGCTTGTTGAATTTTTTTTGTTTTTTTTTTGAGCATGGTCTGACAGACCTATTCTTGTTTGGTTGATGTGTTATTTATCAGACCTGATTTTGACTGGCACAACTTTCAAATATATACTACAGTATATATTTGGGGCTTTCAGCTTCTTTGGTAACTGTTTTAGTGCTCCTGCCTGACAGTCAGGGAAAGCGTGCCCCCGATTATGCAAAACTCAACAAGTTCCTTGAATTCTCACATCATCATCATTTTTTCAAAACCTAAGGGTTACACATAGTTTACACCCTGTGTGATGTGGTTCAGCAGTGACTCCTAGTTTTATTTTAAAAAGTGCTCTTGTATTTTGTAATTCTTTGCCTTGCCACATGCGTAAGGTCACAGGTCAGATCGACCATATTGGATATTATTATGAACAGACACGTGCTCCAGTGCAGCATCCCTCTTTTAATTGTTTTATCCACTGTGTTAAGCCCTGGAGAAGCTTTGTTTGTGAGTTTGTTATATTGGTACAGTTCATAGTTTGTGCATATTAATTGCTTATTTCATACATTATATTGTATATTATAGCTCATGGTAAAAATGCTATTTCTTTATATGTAGCATGTACCTCTATGTTTTAAGGTAACAGTGCAATTTACCTTTTTTCTGTATCTCTATTTCAGTTACACAAGAAAGTGTGTTGGGCTTTGTAAAGCAACTGGCAAGACAAACAGTAAAGCCTCATTTTACTTCTACATCAGCTTCATCTCTTGCTTTGCAATGCTACACCTAGTGTTTAGCTATCTGTTACTCAATGCAGTGACACACGTGCAGTGCAAAGAATACCCTGTTCCAAGAAAGCAGGGAGCCAACTTCCTCATTTGTACACACTGTACAGTGGTGGTTTTCATTTTTCTTTTTTTAACTTATTAAATGTGAAGATACAAAGACAAAGTGTTTTGCATATATTCACATAGGTAGGGGTGTGACTGATTTGTCGACAGAGAGGTGCGATTTGGCTCTGTAACAGAAGACTCCAGGCCCGCACCGATTCCACCTCTTTATCTCATCTCTGTATTGACTGGAAGTCAGGTTGAGTCAGCATTTCTGATGTAGGGGATCATCACTGGGATTCAAAAGACCTCCTCAGGAACAGTGGATAATGTCGCAGGGACTTCATTAAAGTTCCATACAGTCTATAACATCTCATTGACTGTCCAGACACTTAGATGAAACCTGAACTTGATTGAAAATGACTGATACAGCTCTCACTTAAATATCGTTGAGAAGTAGGTATCTAATAATGAAAAAGCTGATTGGGGGGAATCTTGATATTTTTCATCAGTGATTTTTTTCTCATTGCTATAGACTTGTGTGGTTCAATAAGGAAAAAACACTGATGTTTGAAAACATTCTTTGTTTGATATTCCTCTTCTCAAGGTGTATCAAACCTACCTCATGGCCAGCTCTACAGGGCTGCCGACCAACCTCTTATGGACAGAGCAAAGGTCAGAGACACCTGCAGTGATCTTTCTCAGCGGGGTAAAACATTTTCACACATTCAGTTTCCTGTGTGAATACTTTCCCCTCAGCAATCACTTAGACCTTGTAGTATTTCTCTCTCTCACCAGCTTGGCCCACCGCCACCATCCCTAATACAGCTAACCTTTCTATCATAACACAGCTTCACGCAGACACGCCGCAGTTATTAACCTCCGCTGTAGTGCCTCCTTCTAGAGCCTAATTGCTGCCAATACCATGTTACGGCTCAATCTAATAAAGATAATATGTGCTACACCAAAAGGACAAATTGTTCTCTACATTCATTCCATTTGCTCATTTGGTTGTTGCTGGACATGAAGTAATGTGAGCTGCAGCATATTTTACATGTTAATAAGATATTCTTGGATATGAACCTCCTGTTTAGCTGTTTCGGGGGGGGGGGACTAGAAAGACAGACACAGCAGGAGAAAAATGATATGAGAAAGATGACACAGAAAGAAACTACAAGGAACACAAGAATATACAGAAAGATATGACAGATTAGAGCTACAAACTCACAACATGACAAGAGGTTTACAGCCTTAAGAACAGGGGAGGTCCAAGAGGGAAAAAAAGAGGTAAGGTCCAGTAAAGTTATTTACAGTGTTGGTCAGCTCATGTCTTGACTACAATCTGCACTTAAAAGAAAAAAAAAAAAACGAATAATCTAACAAATCTGTTCTGTGTTGAACATATTAGGAGAAACAATATAATATAACCCAATACAAGAACTTTATTGGTCCCCAAAGAAAAACTCATTCGTCTGGAGTCTCATGTTATCTGTTTTTCAAAGAATTAAACAGTCTGATGGCTGTGGGTACAAAGTACCTTCTGAGTCTTTCTTTTCTGCAGTAAAATGAGAGAAGCCGTCCACCACCATTGGCCTTTTGGTCCATCAAGGTGTTGTGAAGTGGGTGATCCATGTTCTTGAGACTAGCCTCCACCTTCTTCAGTGTACATCTCTCCACCACATCCTCCAGTGAGTCCAACTTGATACCAACCACAGCTTTTTTAAATTAGTTTGTTCAGATGTCTTGCATCTTTGTGTTTGATACTTCCTCCCCAGCAGACTGCAGCGTGGAAAGAACACTGTAGACACCACAGACTGATAAAACATCTGCAGCATCTTAATGCATAAGGGTTGGATGGTGTTGAATGCACTTGAAAAGTCCAAGAACATGATCCTTACATAAACCCCAGATGAGACAGGGCATGGTGAAGCATGTAGAGGACAGCATCATCCACTCCAACATGTTCTTTGTATGCAAAC